AACTACATCCATCAAACGCATTTCAAGCTTTTCATGTATTGCCAGACTAATTAAATATCGAAACATAATTGCATCCACCACAAGAGAATATGTCTATTTATAATCGATACCAGGTTTTTGGATAAAACCTTATGCGACAAGTCGTGCTTTATATCTCATAATCTCATCTTTCTGATTTCGTTTCTGCATAAATACCCATTTATATCCCACTGATTTTAAGCCATTTGGTGTACAAACCACAAGTCCAAAAACTTCACATTTTGCAAGTGGATTTAATTCCAATTTGATTGCATCTTTCCACACTAGCCAATCATATCTACATTCTTCAACAAATGTAGATTCAAAATCCTCATTGGCTTTCATAATATTGAGTGCTACATTGTATGCAAAAATATCGTCGATGTTTATTTCATTTTGGTTCCATCTTTTTTCCGTCATGATATAATTTATTAAGATCTTTTCATTTTCACTAATTTTATATACCTGAATTTCTTCTGAAATTATGTCAAGGGTCTCTTCTAGAGTTTTTGTTTCCTCTTCTTGACCATCTTAAATATTTGCTCTTTTTCTTTTTCGATGATTTTTATCTTTGGAATCGATTGGTCTTTCACGTTTATGACGTATCTTAGATTCATTAACAACAGTAGATTGTCCTACATCAATTTTGATTGGAGCATTTATAGTTGGTATATGAGATTTAATTACTCTTTTTAGGTCGGTAAATGCATCTGACAATTGATTTGCTATATTTTGTAAATGAATTATCTTTTGAACTTCTTGTTCACATTGATTTGTGCAAAGATCAAAACTAGATAATGATAATGTATTCCAAGATATTTTTTTTTCTAGTTGCTTATTTTTTCCCTTTAATGTTAGAAAAATTGTTTCATTAAAATGACAATTAGCAAACCTTGCAGTGAATAAATCTCTTGTTGAAGGTTTTAGATATTTAATTATAGATAGAGATTCATATCCAACATATATTTCTAACCTCCTTTGAGGACCCATATTTGTGCGTTGTGGTGGAGCAATTAGAACATATACCGCACATCCAAAAATTCTTAGATCAGAAATATTTATTTCCTGACCATAAACCAATTGTATAAAGGAGAATTTATGATAACTCATTGGCCTAATGTGTACAAGTGCTACTGCATGCAAAATGGTATATCCCCAAATAGAAATTGGGAGCTTAGATTTCATAAGTTATAGCCTCGCAATCAGTTTAAGGATTTTGATAAACAATTCTGCTAGACCATTTTGTGTATGAACATGACTAACAGATTGTTCAACATTTATTCCAATTGACATGCAATACTCATTAAAAGCTTGAGACGTAAATTCATCAGTATTATCAAGACGAATTGTCTTGATTACAAAATCCAAAAAATGTGCTTGCAAACTAATTATTTGTGCAAGTAATCTTGCAAATGCCAAATTGTGAGTTGATAACAAGCACACATGTGACCATATTATTGATGCATCAATTAAAACTATAAAATATCTGAATGGTCCACATGATGGATGTATTAATCCACATATATCACTTTAAATACATTTCAAAATGTAAAAGATTCAATCCCAACTTTAGTTAGTGATGGCCTTATAATTAATTTACCTTGAGAGCATACAGCAAATGAGAATTCATTAGATTGAAAAATCTTCTAGTTTTCAATGAATGACCATATGAATTTTCAATAATTTTTCACATCATTATTGATCGAAGATGGCCTAACCGGTTATGCCAAACATTAAAATTATCAGTAAACTTCTGGTTTACTATAACATAAGTTTCAATCATTTTAATTTTTATGTAGTACATTCTAGAGGATAAAGTAGGTAATTTTTCAATACACACTTTTTACCCAATATAATAGATGTAATATAAAGTATTCAGTATTTCTTTCATTCGTTGTCTCAATGTAATATTTATTCAAACGAATATCTTTAAAACTTAACAAGTTTCTTTGAGACCTAGTAGAAAATAATGCATCTTAAATTATAAACTTTGTTCCTCCAAGTAGTGAAATATTGGCTCTTCTAGAGCCTTCAATTAATCTTGTACTACTAGATATTGTATTGATATTAGCTTCTTCCATTGTCAAGTGAGAACAATATTTCTTATTTTTAAATATAACGTGCGTTGTAGCACTATCTATTAGACATATATCTTTATCATTGATCTTGGATCTAACCAGATAAATATCCATATTTTCTTCAAGAAAATAAAACATATATAGTAAGAAACTTATATAAGAGAACATTAAATATAAACGTTGTTAGTAAACACAAAAATCTTCCTAATAGACATATTAAAATACATTAACTTCTAAACATACCAAGTCCTTAATAGAGTTATACTAAAACACATCAACAAATAATTTAAAAAATTTCATTATCAGGATTTCCATCACTAATCAAATGATCAATCCATCCTTTAGGGTAGGTAAAAAATTTAGCAACATTCAAGTGTGTTATATCAACTTGGCTATTATCTTCAACAAACTTTGTTTCGATATTTTTTCCTTTGTCTTTTAGTGATACTTGATAAAGTTCAATAAGTTGTTTACGTGTTCCATAGGTACATGACCAATGACCTTTCATATCACATCGATAACAAATATTTTCTATATTCTTTTTACTTTGTCCAATTTTGTCTTTTTTTTGTATCTTTTCACTATTTATCCACTTCTGGTGGGTATTCTTATTATCAAAATAATAATTTGTGTAACCACAATGACTATGATAATTATGACTACCTTTTCTACATCCATGATTATGACCATGACCAGAATTTCTAAATGATGTCACACTCACTTGAGGGAATAGAGCAGAACCAGTTGGACGAGTTCATGATTTTTCATCAATAACATTATTTTCCTTAGCCACAAGGAGACATGAAATTATTTCAAAGTATTTCTTAAAGCCTTTTTCATGATATTGCTGCTACAGAAGCACACTTGAGACGTGAAAAGTAAAAAATGCTTTTTCTAACAAATCAGCATTAGTCACCTTTTCTCCACACACTTAGTTTAGAACTAGTTCTATATAATGCTGAGTTATACTCACAGTTTTAAAATCTTGCAATCGCAGATGCATCCAATCATGATGAGCTTTTGGTAGAATTATTATTTTCTAATGGTCACATCTTTTCTTTAGACTTTTCCAAAGATTGACTGGATCTTTTATTATGAGATACTCAATTTTTAATCCTTCATGAAAATGGTAGCGAAGGAAAATCATTGCTTTTGCCTTATCCTAATTGGATGCTTTATTTTCTTCTTTGATTGTGTCTCCAAGACCTATAACATCTAAATGGATTTCAGTATCTAGAATCTAAGATAGATAGTTCTTGCCAGTAATATCAAGAGTCATAAATTCAAACTTTGTAAGATTTGACATTGTGATAGCTTAAAAGAAGAACATAATGTTAGTATTACAATACATTGTAATTGGCAAGCAAAATAATAAATTGGCTAATGAAAAACACTTAATATAAGATTGAAAATTGACTTATTATAAATTGATAAAATTTTGGCAAAACAATAAAGTGTAAGGGATTCAGTTTCAACTTTAGTTAGTGAAAGTCCTTATAATGTATTGACCTTGGGAGCAAGTAACCCATGAGAATTCATTAAATTGAAAAATCTTTTAGTTTTTCAATTATGATCACATGAATTTTTCAATAATTTTTTGTATTATTATTAAACTAGGATGGCTAAACCGATCATGCCAAACATTAAAATCATTAGTAAACTTCTGATTTACTATAACATAAATTTCAATAATTTTAATATTTATGTAGTACAATTCAAATGAATATCTATATTTTTCTTCAACAAAAAAAAGATATATATATAAATATATATAGTACGAAACTAGCAAGTTAACATAAGATAACATTAGATACAAAATTTACTATTAAAACACATAATCAAAATATATCATTTAAAGATAATGAGAACATATAAAAACTTCTTAATGATAAAATTATACTAAAACATATCAATAAATTATTTAAGAAATTTTGTTCTTATATATTTTAATCACCAAATCACATGGTTAAATCCCTTTTTAAGGTAGATAAGAAAAACAATATCTAAATGTGTTATATCAACTTGGCTATGGTTAAAATTATTTTATTTTGATTTTTTTCTATCTTTTTGTAATATTTGATAACGTTCAACAAGATGTTTCGACGTACGACAAATATGCGACCAATAACCTTTCATGCCACATTAATGATAGACAATTTTTGTATTTCTTTTGTTTTTAACCATTTTTTTCTTTGTCTTATATTTTTTCACTATTCATCCACTTTTGGTGGGTAAAAATTTTCATCCACTTCTAATGAGTAAAAGTATTCATTCACTACTGACAGATAAAAGTATTTATCCACTTCTAGTGGGTAAACATATTTATCTACTTCTAATGAATAAATATATCCATCTACTTTTAATTTGGTGGCTAAAATTATCTATTTGCTTCTAGTCTGGTGGGTATAATAATTCATCCACTTCTAGTGATTAAATGTATTCTTATTATTAGAATAATGATTATTCTAACTACCATGATTGCAATTATTATGGTGATTTCCTTCACGTTCATGACCATAATTATTAAATGCTGTCACATTCATTTCAAGGAATGGAGGAGGTTCATTATTTGTCATTAGCATCTCATAATTTTGCTCAACCACAAAAGACATGAAATTCAAAATAAATTGTATTTTAGATTATCCAAAAGTATAGTATTTTTCGCTAGTTACAAAATTAGACATCATACATAGTCAATTTCATATGTTCAATTTAAAATGTCTTATGCAAAGTTTCATAGTATCAAAGATAGATTTACATATGTTGAGCAAAATTATACTCAAAATTCAACAAAAAAAAAATCATGTCTTGAAAAAATCATATATTGAGAAAATCATATTCCAAAACTAGAATAAAAATATCATATATAATATTATATATTTTTCATGCTCAACCTAAATACTACATGATAGCAAAATTCACATTAAGGTTGATTTTCAGAGAATAAAAACACTAAAAAGAAATTCAACATAGAAATGATGTAATGAGCAAATAATATTCTAACACCAAAATAAATAGATCATATATAATTATGTATATTTGCATGCTCAATCTAATTTAATAAATTAAAGATTAAAATGTAATACATATTACATGATAGCAAATTCACATTAAAGTTAATTTTTAGGGATGAAAACACTAAAAAGATATCAAGCCACTTACTTAATTTGCTAAAACCAAAAATCAAAGACGAACTATTGAAATTCTTTTGAAACTTGAAGAAATGGAACTTCGACTTTGAGATGATAATGAAAACTAAATGATACTAAAACTTGAGAGATTAGAGAATTATGATGATAACATGGCATGAAATATAACCTAAAAAAACAACTATGAGAGAAAATATTAAAAAATCAAGAAGATCTAAGTGTGTTTTTACAAATAAATTGACTTAGTTATAGGCTAATAACCCCTTATCTAAATAAAATTTACAAAATAAAGATAATGTTAACGGATTTGATTTTAATAGATTAAGTCCTAATCTTAGTCTGATATAATCTACATTCAAATCTAAATATACATAATCAAATATAAAAATTCAAATCAAATTACACTCCTATGTTTGGGTTGCTAGGCTATTTGGCGTATCTTGACTACTTGGCTTGGTCTAAACTCTTAGACCGTGACATAATGGACATCAACACATATACTAATAACAAATTAATTATTAAAAGTTTTTTTGATATTTATTTTTAAAATTTTATAAATTTTACATTTTACCTCATTATTGAGATGATAGTATTTGGTAGACTAACCATGTATATAAACTATGCACTATCAATGCATTAAATATTAATTGAAAAAAAATCTATTAAAAGTAAATATCACAATTAGCTTTATGAAAATATTGTCAATTAATTTTGTAATTTATAGATTACTTTTTTTTAAAGTTATTATTTATTTATTCTTACTATTTCATAAGAATAAGAAAGGAACTTTTATTTATGATTTATAGTTGAAAAATTGAATTTAATTATTATAATTATGATATGAATGTATTTGTTTATATTTCTATAATCACTAGTATTTGGTGTCATGTGCGCTGTATGTGATACTAGCTTTTATTTAATTTTAAAAATAATAATAATTTTTAATTTTATAAATATTTTTAAAGTACAAAATTTAAACGAAAAATAATTAAAATTTATAAATTATTCAATACTTTTAGAATTAAAATAATAATTTTTAAAGGAAATCATTCAATGCAATTAGAATTTTTATGTACAAATTGAATAAATGTTAACAAAAAACATTTAAAATGATAATCTAAAAGCTTTAATAAAATATTTTATTAAAATTGGCGTTTATATATATTATAAATAGATTATTATAGATAATTAATAAAGATAGCATCCAAAGTTTTATAAAAATTGTAAAAATAAAGATGTAAAATAAATTGAAATTATTAAATACTAACAGAGTAATAATTCGAATGATTAATTTTTTTATCAGATGGATTTGAATGGAGGCTGCGGATGAAATTTGGAGATTCTAAGTGGCGATCAACTTTAAGATTCAAAACCTTATTCGTTGAGAAGCAGTACATGATCTAACCGAAACGCATCGTTTTAAGCATAATGGTATAAAGAGATGATTTCCCGGTTGAGCCGTGTTTTTTCCGAATATTCATTCATTGAAGCTAAAAAAGAAAAACACAAAAACAAAATAATAGCTTCTTCCCCATCGCTTTTCATTCTGTTGTTTCTCCTTCAACCCTAATTTCAAAACCCCAAAATTTCTTTCTCTTTCTCAGAGAAATCCTGGGAAAATCTTGTCTAATTTATGGATCAGTACTATCATCATCAGCCTCATAATCAATGGGGGCAACCACCACCACCACCACTCCCACCCCCGCAGCAACCCAGCATATGCCCAGTTTGCTCAATTCCTCACCTGCCATTTTGCCCTTCCTACCCTCCTTACAATCACCAAAACCCTAATTACCCTCCTCAACCTCCCCATTATGCCCGACCTGGATTTGACCCCTACCAACCTCCCCTACCACCTACGCCTCCTCCTCCTCCTCCTCCTCCTCCCGCGGTTCCAACTCATACTCCCCCTTACATCGACGGGTTCTCCGATCCTAGATCCTGGCATCGAAACCCTAATTACGGCTACGATTATGGTACGGCTGGTGGTGGTGGTGAAGTTGATCGGAGCTACAAGAGGCCGAGAGTTGACGAGTTTGGTTCGGGTCCGGGTTCAGGTTGGACTTTGTCAGAGGATGAGAGAAGATTGAAGTTGATTCGTGATCATGGTGGTGCATCATTGAGTGGATGTAACCAAGAAAATATATATTTCCAAAATAATATTAATAACAATAACAAGGCCACCCCTATGCCGCCAAGGCGTACAGAGATGTATAACATAGAAGATTCACTAAACAATTATAATGATTATAGTAATAATTATGATTATAATCAGCAGCAGATTCAACATAAAGATGTAGTGCCTGCGGCGGTGAATAATTGGCAAGGTTATGAACAGAGAATTGGCGGTTATTTGTCTCAACCTGGTGGCAGTAACATGGCTCAGCCGCCTCCTCCTCCTCTTCCAGCTTCTCCGCCGCCACCTCTGCCTGTAGAGCCTCCAATGCAGAATCGCTCTTCTTTGGAGTTTAAGGCTTTTTCTTCATCACCCAATTCATCATTTTCTTTATTTCCTATACCTGTTAGTTCTTCAGTCACAGCGCATTCCACTTATCCAGTGGTTCCTGAGCCTTATTATCAGAGCAAGCCACGGCATGCTTCTGGTGGATTTGTTGGGGAGGTAAGGGCTGGCTTTTTAATTGCGGCATTGACGTTTGGAAATGTACTTTTCAGGGGCCAAAATTATCTTTTTACTTCTGTTTCTTTTTTTTCTTTTTTGATTAGGATCCTCAAGTTATCCATAGGACTGGGCAATACGTGGGCATTCCTCCAAAGCAATTGTGTTCTGATAAGCCTAAAATTGTTAATGCTTCTGAGTTGTTTAAGATGCCTCATAGAGCTTCTCGGCCTGATCATATTGTGATAATTCTTCGAGGGCTTCCAGGTAAATTAGATAAGTGCTTGCATTTTAGTTGATTTTCTTTTACCTTTTTTCTAGTTACCTGCTGGGGTGCATGGAAAAATTGGCTAATGTTTGCTAAATAAAGAATAAGGTGAATTTATTCTCCAGGATACGAGTGGGCAAGAAACATAGTCTTTGATAACTGCTAATGTTCTGATGAGCATCATTAGTTGCTATATGTCCTCCATCCTCAGAAAATGCTATGAGTTCTGTTATAATTATAGTACATGATAATAATTTCTGTGAGCATGGTATGCAGATAAAAGGAAGGCTGAAGATTATGCTCATTAGCATTTCTGAGCTTCTAGAGCCAAAATTTTTCAAAAGAGGCATTGATGATGCCTTATGAAGATACTTTCACATTTTAGTCTGGGCATACTCTTGATAACTGCTAATATTCAGATGAGCATCCTTGGTTGCTATTAATCATCCATTTTTTCAGAAAATGCTATGATTTTTTTCTGTCATGGTTATTGTGCGCGATGATATTTTCTTTGAGTGTGAAATGCTGATAAAGGAGAAAGGCTGAAGACATTATTAACTATATGATCATGTTTGGCATATTTAATTTACTGCATTTCTTTTATGTTTAGGTAGTGGAAAGAGCTACTTAGCAAAGATGTTGCGAGATCTTGAGGTTCAAAATGGTGGTGATGCCCCTCGAATCCACTCGATGGATGATTATTTTATGACTGAAGTTGAAAAGGTCTGTTAGTTTACCTTGTTTTTGTTGATACTCAAAAGCAATAGAAGCCTTAACTGTTTTGAAATTTTTGATGTTTTTTTATTGCATATTGCTTAAAGGATGAGGATACTGATTCAAAATCATCAAGTTCAGCTCGAAGCAAGAAAACAATGAAGAAAACGGTGATGGAGTACTGTTATGAACCTGAAATGGAGGAGGTAATGCCACTTGTATGGAATGGACATCATGGCTTGATGCTTGTTTTGAATTTGCATCTACGTACATTTTACACGGTTAGATTTTGAGTTGCTTCTGAAAACATCTAATCTTAGGTTATTCTGGCAGATTGGACAAGGAATCCAATCAGGAAATGTGCATAGTCTCTCATCAATTTATGCTGAGTGTTTTGGCTTGAGCTTCATCCAAGTAGACATTATTGTCTGCTGGACTGGTTTTCATATTTGTTTGGTGTATGGTGTATAAAAGAAGGCTGAGCAATACAGCTGACCTTGAAACATAAAAAACAATTTCAAGGCATAATTCTTTTAAAAATTTTTCCTCTTATTCCATACTTAGTAAATGAAGAAAAAAATCCCTGAACATTAGAGACGAGTCTTACTAAAAGTATTTTCAAAATTCTAGTTTAGCTATTGCTAAATAGGCATGAGCTTGCTGGATAATTCTTATGCATTTAAGTATGAAGAAATGCATGCATGTCAGCAACCTAGTATTTTCATTCCTAACTGCGCTATTTCTTTGCTTATGTGTGATAATTTCTCTTATTATTTTTCCGAGAATTTGGTGTTAATGTAAATATACTACAGGCCTATAGAGAAAGCATGTTGAAAGCATTCAAGAGGACCCTTGAAGATGGGATCTTCAGTTTTGTAATTGGTATGATTCTTCAGTTGCAATTTTAGGACTACTAAAGACATTGACTTATATCTTCTTGTTAATATTATGGTCATTTTATGTGTTAAATGTGGATTAGATAATGTTTGGTATTGGCAAATTTTCATTTGTACTAATGTGGTTACATGTTTCCTTTTGCTCTGATGATTTTGAAGTGATGCCTACTTTTGATTTTCAAATTCTTCCATTGTTAGTGGTAGAATTGCAGATACATTTCTCTCCTTCAGATTGTCATTCATGTGCCTGCCTTAGTTAGATATAGTTTAGAAGACTGAGAATATCTTATTATTCTTTCCAAAGGAGAGAAAAAAAATGGGATGTGTAGGCTTCGTTATATAAAATGATTAAAGATTGTCCCAGTTATGCTGGCTTGTTACAGCATTCAACGACATAAATGATCTAGCTTCATTATCATTTAAGTGGTCATGCAGTGCCCCTGCACTGCTTACATTGTTAACTAACTACAGATGCAGTTTTTGTTCGGCAATTGACCCTTTTCTTGCTGGTATGTGTGCCTTGTCTTAGTGGATGACCGCAATCTGCGGGTAGCTGATTTTGCTCAGTTTTGGGCAATTGGAAAGGTATACTCTCAATTCTTTCTCTCACCCCCTCTGCAAGTATATTCTCTGGGAATACTTTAAAGGTGTGCAGGTCTTATTTGCATTACACAGGTCTTACTGTAATTTGGGGGCATGAACATTAATATGCTAAATTACTTTTTGAGTTTTCTTCCACTTCTTTAACTTTTATTAAGCAAGTTTTTAAAAACATTTATTTTATTTTGAATTCTCCTCTATTTTTCATTCCCTATTTATTACTCTGAATTTTTGTTTGTTGTCTCCCAATGCAAAGATGATTTTTTTTAAGCTGAATGTTTCTACGCAGCTTGGTCACTTAGTTTAATACATGGGAAAATGTTAGCCCATCTTAGAAAGAAAAATACATATTAGTAATTTTCATGGATGTGGACGTGGAAGCCTTTCGCTCTGCTATTCTCTCATCTTCTTTTTTTTTTTATTGTTTTTTTCTTTTGATGTTGTTTTATTAGTCTTTTACTTGGAGTTTCTGGTCTGTGTTGGAAAATTGAAAGCAGTTGATGTTTTCAGGAAAATTATATGTCTTGGTACCAAAGAATCATCATTTTTATAACTTTCATTTCTATTGTTAAGAAATAATTCTGTTAAAAAAATAAAAAAAAAAGAAAAAAATTATTAGGAAGCAATGGGCCATGTCTATGATACATTTAATTCAAGGCCATAATGTTGACCACGGAAGGTGTAACCCTTGTTCTGCTATGTTGATCAAAAATCTTTCTTGTTAGTTTTCATAAGCTAGCCTTTGTGCAATTAGTTGCCAATATACTTTTGTGCTTTTTAAAATCAGCTGTGAACCTGCAAAACGACAGTTTGTGAAACGCTGCTGGTGACATATACTGCTTTGTACCAAAAATGAATATGGGATGCATGTGATGCTATTACAATATCATCTGGAATTTCATCAAGTATGCTAAATTATTACTGATATTCCTTGACTCTACGCATTGCCCTGTTGAACTTTGGGTGGGGGAAAACTTATGTTATGGTCCCAGTACTTTTCTCATTTGTACTCGAAGTTTTCGGGCCTGGTTAAGTTAAGGCCTCCGTTGTTTTCTCAGTATGTGTGTGCATATGTGTGCTTATGCCAGTTTTATGTCATCTATCTTGTATATGCTATTGCTTTGTAGTCAGCACTATGGTGTCCCTGTAGACCTTTAAATCAGTGGTTTATTATTATTGATGGAATTTTTTGTTTATCTAATGACAGAATAATCTGATTTCAAATGATTATTTTACATATTGCATTTTCTTTGATTTGAATTTTTCTGTATGCAAATGTTTCCCTACAATGAATTTGCTAAGAGCTAGATTTTTGGTCGTTGGGGGGTTGTTTTGCTTTGTTTTGTTCTGACTACCCCATTATTGTTGTGTTTGTCATTGAAAAATTGGAATTGTTTTGTTCTTCTTTGAAATAATTGGAACCTATGTGGTGGAAAATTTTTTGAATCAGTTGTCACAATCTAGGGAGAAATTGAATCTCTTCTGAAATGTTTTCCAGGACTTTTCATCTCTCCATTTAAAAAGTTCTCTAGGACTTCAAATACTAGTCCAACCGTTTGCATATATAATTTCTTAATTTGAACCTTAAGGCACAGCATAAGACTACTAATCTGACCATTCGCAAGTTTGTAATTCTTGTGCTTATGCATTATGTTTTAATGATGAGGATCATTGAGTTACATTAATTGGTTATTTTTTTTGTGTATTAGTGCTTTTTCTTATTGTTCCTTGCTTACGTTTCAGAGATCAGGTTATGAAGTTTACGTATTGGAAGCTACATATAAGGATCCAGTGGTGAGTATGTATATAACTTATTTTCTTTGTAAGATTCTTGTCAAATTTTCCTGATATGTGTGCGGTTAGTTCTAATATTGAACTTGACAAGTTGCTGATGTTTTAGTATAAACTGAACAAGGATTCTTCCTCCCTCAATTGTGCCATAAAGCTTAATTATTTTGAATTTCAGGGCTGTGCAGCTAGGAATGTTCATGGTTTTACCCTAGATGATATCCAACAGATGGCAGGACAATGGGAAGAAGCTCCATCATTATACTTGCACCTGGACATCAAGGTTTGTTGCAACTGAGCTTTCAGTTTTAACCTTACTGTTAAAACTTTGGAAATTCAAATTGAAAGCAAACATCATAATTAGAAAGATTAAACATCACATAAGGTTGACATCTTCTAGACGATGAAGAAAAATTGCAACTGTCACTTACCGTAGCATAATACCTACAAAAAAAATATTGTAACTTCCTTTGCATCCTCTAAATGCTGTATTTTACTGGTATGACAGTCATTGTTCCATGGAGATGACCTGAAGGAAAGTGGTATTCAGGAGGTAATTGACCTTTTCATCATGCTTATTTTATCTTTATAAAGAATTAGGTATATCATGCGCTTCTGATTAATAACTTAATTGTGATTGTGCCTGTGCCTTCTTACTTACAACATGATAATATTTGAGCTTGTTCATGACATAAATGTACATGGATAATTATATTTGCCCATTTGTTATTTCTTCCCTGAATCAGGTTTGTCCCTAATGTTTATTGGGAAGTAATATTTGTTTCTGCACCTAATTAGACACTTATATTTAACCTTATTTTCTTAAAAGGAAGAGTGGATTGTAGTTGGAAAGTCACTTGGAAAACCTCTTTATAGTAATATTGTGTTGAAAGTGCAATAGTTTTGCTGTTTGTCTTCACTCTATAAAGGTTGTGGCAACATAGACTCATTGATGTGTGATTTTGGAGTTGGTATTCTAACTAGTTTAACTTAAATTGAATTCTCTTATTGTCTCTGCCAGGTTGACATGGACATGGAAGATGGAGATCGTGAAGAAGGATTATCAGGACAGCAAGAACAAAAGCCTGAGAAAACGAAATCACTTGCTGTTGGAGATCATGTACTTGGAGGTATATTTCATCTCTTTGCTTGGCATGCCTGGTGTATCAGTCCCTCCATTATGAAATACATACATATATATATATATATGTACACATACATACATACATATAGATATATACATAAGCACACATGTGGACATAATTGTTTATACAAGATGTACACATGCACATAAGAATATTATCTAATTGTGTTAGTTTCTATGACATGGTATTTTCCTGAGTTTTAGTAACATCTTAAATTAGTTCTGATACTTTGGATGTGTAGCTTGAAGCTTGAACTATAATGTATTTTGTTTCTTAAAAAGCAAGGGTTATGGCATTTTTATTGATAACATTGGTCTGGAATGTTCTCACTTAAATTGATTGGTTGGGTCATAAGGGTTGGGGGTTCAAAAAATGCCAACAATTCCTGGTTTTTGTGCTAAGTAATTGTGTGCTGTTTGATTTAAGTTATTAATAGCAACATTCTTAAACAATTTGAAGCTAAACTAGAAGGTAAATGCTGGAGAAAATCCTAAAGGGCAGGAGATTGTGAGATGAAAGTGGGTACTTAGTTTACGCTGCAAACATATTTTATTTGCATAATGTGCTATTGATGTAATGCTAGAGGTCAGTGTTGTTTGTTTCTCTTCTTTTAGCTTCCTTTGGGGGCTAGAGGTTTTTTCCAAGACTCAAGCAATTATACAGCTTGTTTGGATACAAGTCTTTTTTACATGCAAATTGCACGGGGACTATATTGAATGTCAAGTGTTATGAATTAAAAAAAATGAACATAGTATTTATATTTTGGTTAAAAAACTAATAAAGTTTCAATTAGATTATAAGTTTATCATATAGATGAGTTTTTATCTAACAAGTTAAGTTTGACAAGTTACAGAATAAAGAGTTGTGTTTTGGTTTAGACCGCACCACAACTTCAATTGAAAATTATTTGAGTAAATATTATTAGAAATAAACAAAAAAAGTTTATAAATGTATTTTACCCTTCAAAAAATTTCAAACCCCTTTGGAAAATAAGTAAATTTCAAACCCCTTAATTTCTATTTTGTATAGTAATATTGATGAGTTAAAAAATAAACTGTAGTGATTTGATTAAACTATAACTTAAAGTAATTCAACTAATTTTAACTCTATCATAAAATTTATTAGAAACAAAAGTGATAAGGTTATTTTCGTCTTCACAAAAGTTGCACACCTACTTTATGTTGGTATATCTATCCAGTGTTTTCTGTCTCACAGTTAATTATATTTATCCAATTTACCTATGATTTCAAGATTTAGATTCTTCAAAGGATGACAAGAGGAGGGATGCTGAGGGGGACCGTCCTGTGGAGGTGAAAGAATTAAGTAGGAGTAAATGGTCAAATGATTTGGACGAAGATGAAATTGAAGGACCAGAAGCTATTAATGGAAACTTGAATGCTCTCTCCGGGTTGATCCAAGCATACAGGAAGAAGGGAAAATCTGTGCATTGGAGTGACCAGGTATTCCTTATATTGCAGAACATGTTTTGTGTTTGTCAGTAAATGCCAGTATTTTGTGTGTTTGCCAAAATGTTTTAAGTTCCCATTCCCCCCAATTTTAATGTTACTGAGGAAATTGCTCAACATGCATAGACATTTACTCAGGTCTGCATGTGTATTTGTATATAAACGAATGTGGCTGTTGTGAATATTTCAACCATGTAGCTACACTGTTGCTTAAGCAGTCATAAAAGCGTCTCCTTCTCCACCTTATTTCTCAGTTGCTATAAATGCTGTCAAGTTGTTTTCCTGTGCATTCTTGAGCCCTTCAGTGCAGCAATTGTCATGTGCTGTCTAGCAGTGTGGGTTCTTACCCGTAAGGATGAATGACCATGGATCATTGTGATGAAATTATGGGGAAAGCTCACTTAAATCTTTTACCATTAGTTGTCTGTTTGATGGGGTCAGTTGAGGAACAGAACTAAAATAACCTTTGATTAAAGGTCTAAATGGAGATAATCTGATAAGATCTGTATAATCTGTATCAGAGTTATACAATTTGCTGTAGTTATGCAGGAAAACTCTAGTCTTTGGCTGCTGTCTCCCTAATTCATATTCCGCTTTGAAAATGTCTTGCCTCTAATTAGTTTCTGTTTGATAAATATAAAATAGAGGTTTTCTGCAACTCCTGGTGGCTTTTACTCCTCTTATTTATTTTAGTTATTTTTCAGGGCAGTGACTCTGGATTCTCAATAGTTGCAGCAAAGAAGGCCAAAATGTTGTCTCTAGTGATTGGACCAGGAGTTGGTTACAATTTGGTCAGTCATGCAATAATCATATCTGGTCTTTCAAGTTTAGCCATTTAGATTTCAATGGAAAAGGCTTAACTGTCTGCTATGACATTTAATATCCTTCAATTAATTATTAGTTTTATGTAAGCATTTCACGTTGGAAGGAAATTGCTTCACTGTGAAGTCAGTGAATGACAGGACGGACTTCTTATGATTAAGTATTAATTTTGATGAGTCGAATACTTTCTCCACTGAGTTAAATGTCTCTTAGAAAGGCTTAACTGTAACATCATGGTACGTGTGCTTCCATTACTTGCAGAAGTCTAACCCATTACCTATAGAGGAGAACCATACATCCAACAGCAGTGGCACTTTGAAGAAGCAGAGTTCATTCCAAGAGCGGCTTCGTGCAGAGCAGGACTCCTTTAAAGCTGTTTTTGATAGGAGGAAGAGAATCGGCAGGCTTGATCTTGACGAGGATTAGTATAATTAGAAATCCGGGGGAAGTTTTGCCTATGTAGAGATGTTTGGCACGACCGCTTTCTCTGGTAGTGCTCCCCACCCCACCCCCCCAATCCCCCACCTTTTTTGGGTATTTAATGGGGGGACTTGCGGGATGTTTGTAGATTAGTGTGGGTAAAGAGAGGTGGTTCGGTCAAACTGTATCTGTACTACAGAATGAGAATTCAATCTCTATGGTAGGAAAAGGAAGTTTTTCTACCACCATGATCAAATTCATAGTTGTAATCGTTTTCTGGGCATCTCAATGCCTGTGTGATGTATTCCATGACGTGCCCAGAAGTTATCCATATTACTAAAATTCATTAAATGAAATTTTCTGATCTGGTCTGCTACCCAGGCATTAGATTAATACTTATAGCTGACGTATTCAGATGTTTTGTATTTGCTCCACGAAATTATGTTGACTTGAATGATCAATGTTTAATAAATTTAGCAAACCTAGACACTAATATGCGAAAGAGTTTGAAGAGGTGAATGCATTTTGCTACACGGTTTTATTAATGTTTCTACCCTTTTGCAGCTCATAATTGGAATGGTGGAAGATTAAGATCGAAGCAAATCAGGGGCTTTGATGTCAGGGTATTGTAAAGACGCTTGGACATTGTGAAGGACATCAATCGTAACGAGGTTAGGAACCTCATTAAAGTGAATCACTAATTTTGACAAGGTTAGAAAATCTCATTAAAGTGAAAAATAATTAAAATCGCACTTTAGTTGATTAGGTCAAAGATTCGAAAATTTCTTATTTTTGAAAAAAAGCCTAAAGAAATAAGTACTCTTGTTTAAGAAAATATTATTTATTAACTCTTAACTTAGATGATCCATAACTAAGCTTAAGGGTTATTTGTAGTATTATAGGCTAACATCTTAATAAAATTATACTTCTAGTTATCTAATACAATTAGAATAATTAACAAGAGATTTGAATAAAATAGGTGTTTCATTCCTAAATAGAACATGCATAATTTAAATTCCTAATAAAAATAAGAAAAGAATCCTAATCTAAATAGAATAAAGAAAATAAATCCTAAATCAATTAAAATTAGAAAAAACTAAATTAAATTAAATACAATCCCAATCGCTCCTGCGTCATTTTCCTTGGATCAGAAAAACTCAACTCTGACGAGTAAGCCTTGACATACTCCACGTTTGGATCCACATACTATCATAGTCCATATCAACCATTTAAATAACTCATCTAATGTTTTGAAGGTTGTCTCCCACTCATCTTCAAGTCGCATTTTGATTTGATGATATCTTTTCTTCAAATCGATCTTCAAAAACACCTTAGAACCAATGAGCGTATCATCTAATCGAGAGATAAGGAAATCATACTTAACTGCAGTCTTGTTAATGGCATGGTTGTTTACAAAGCTTCTCAATAAGTTACTCAAATTTTTGTTGACCAATTTTGTTTGACCATGCT